CCCATATATCCTTCTTTAGTGGGGGACCTGTGATACATGCATAGGGGTGGAAGCTGAAGGAACCTATGTTCCTGGGACAGGAAGAAGTCCTTTTGAGTTTAGGTACCCTCCTCCGAGTTGACACCACTCCCAGCTTTGCCCACCTCCAGATACACCAAGAGGGAGGAATTCTGGGGCAGTGCCAGAAGGATTGCCCTGAAGTTCCTTGGGGAAGAGAGTAGCTGAGTCAGCACCACCCCCATGGTCTTCACCAGTTACAGCTCATCTTCATCCAACTTGGCAAGTCTGGCCTGGCAGGGAGGAGTGTTTGGAATTGGTGGAAGTGAAGGAGAGTCACGAGGAATCTGGGGGATGTCACTGAGGGCCTGAAGAAAGACTCAAGTTGGAAGATCAGAAAAGTCCAGAGATCGACCCTCACTCCTCTCTTTTCAGTGTAAGCCCCTAGGGAAGCCACCTTCTGCCAGACATCTTAGCTTACCTGAGACCATCAGTTAAAGGGGAGGAGGGTAAGAGATGGGAAGTAGGAAGGGGTAGACAGAAGGAAGGTAGTAGAAGAGGAATGGTATAGGGGAAAGAGATTTGGGGATCCTGGAACAAGAGAGGCCCTCCCCATTCTACCCCTATGACCAGGGAACACCATTCTTCATACCTGTGTGTCCAGGGGCAGAGGGCCTCTGGCCACCTCCCCTCTGGGTAACAGCAGCAGGGAGGGGAGAGAGCCATTGATGGGTGTGTGTGTGCTGACCTGGGCCTGGTCTCCAGGCCGCATTTTCCCAGGGCTTCCCACCCCAGGCCCTCCTGGCCTCCCCAGGCTGTTGGTCTGGCTCTCCCGTCTCTGGTACTCAATGGGTGATTGCAATGCTGGGGCAAAGAGAACAGAAGGAGGGTTACAGCAGAGACAGGTCCTTTCCCTCAGGGCTCTGCTCAGGCTATCCTCCCATTTTGCCCTCCCTCCAAAGGACTGTCATCCATGTCAATTGACCTTTAGAGGATTCTGAGTTACCAATTCTTGAGCTAGTAGTAGAAAACTGGGAATCAGGGACAAGGAGAAGCCAGGGTCAGAGGGCAGGGATGGGAGATTGGGCAGTGAGGGATTCAGGAGGGAGAATGTGGAGGAGAGAGGGTGAGAGCTTCACCATTGAGAAAGTCCCGCTGGCTTTCCAGGATCTGAGCCACCTGCTTGATCCAGGCCTGACTAACTGCACGGTCTGAAGTCTGCAGGACATAGCGCTGGATCCCACCCTCCGGCCCTCTGGAGGTCAGAGCAAAGCGGCAAGGGTCATCTTGGAGGTTCCCCTCCAGTCCAAGGCAGCTCACCTGGATTGGCAAATAGGAGATAGCGCCCCCGAGTTCTTCAGGCCCTCTCTGGTTCCTGCCCCCTCCAACAAATCCAAGAGCCATACATCCTCTCAGAGGCCTCACCCCATCCCAGTCAAACCCCTCCCTCCCCACCTTGATGCTGCTCTTGTACACATATGCAGGTTGTGTTCCACCTCGCACTCCTCCTCCCAAGGCCTCGCTGAAGATGACGATTTGCTCAAAGAGGAAGACACGCCGCTCGCGACCCCGGGAAGAGAGAAGTCCCCCAGCCTCAGGCTCTGTGACCCAGAATGTGTCCTGGCCCAAGAGCTTCCCCTGAGCAGTCAGTTTGCCCTAGAACCAAAGGAAAGTGGTCTCCCAGAAAAAAAAAGAGAAAAGAGGCAACTCTCTGCTCCTCCCTTTTTCCCCTGACACTCCCAGCACCAGGAGATGACAATTCCCCATAATTCAGTATCCTCCTGAATACTCAGACTGGGGCAGAAGAGCACTGGGCCTCAGGTTTCCTGCTCCATCCCCATACCTCAAACCCCCGCAGTCTCCCCAAGGTCATCATGTCGTTGCAGCGCTTGGGCACAAAGCACATGACTTCCACAGCTCGCTGGGACGCAGGTGAAGAGAGAAACATTGTGATTATTGGGAAGGAGCCATGTTTTGACTTCAGAGCAGGTTTTGACCCCCAACCAGCCTCCTCCTAAAAACCAGACAGCTCTACACCACCCAAGGAGCTGGGGGAATCCAGGAGACTAAGAAAATAAAGGTGTGTGTGATGTGTCCTGGAAGATCTAGAAGTCCTCACCTCCAGCTCTTCAGTATCCATCCCAGCTCTACTATAATACTTGAGAAAATCCTAAGACACAGAAGAGAAATATTCAGGGAAATCATGAGGATATTCTCAGAAGCTCTCACAACCTCCCCGCAGGACACAG